TCAGATACTTGACTGACTGAGCCACCCAGGTGCTCCTATACCAGGTGGATTTGAAGTGAGGTTCAGTGACCTAGAAAGATTAGTAAGTCCAAGTCTCCTGAAGGTGGAATTCTATGATGTTCTCCCCTGCAAAGGGAACTGAGGTTCAGTGACCTAGAAGGGTTAGTAAGTCCAAGTCTCCTGAAGGTGGAATTCCATCATGTTCTCCCCTGCAAAAGGAACCTGTTCACCTGTTTCACCGATTATAACCAAAGGTTATAATCAAAGGTTGTGATTATATACAGATGGGACCAAGCAGAGCCACAGTTTGGACCCGTTTGGAGCTATGTGACACACCTACTCTTAGCTCCCACTGCCTGGTGCAGCTGTTCCCCCAAAAGACTCAGTCAGATTCTTTCTATAAGAAGCACATCGTAGGGCGCCTGGGTGGCTCAGTTGGTTAAGCGACTGCCTTCGGCTCAGGTCATGATCCTGGAGTCCCAGGATTGAGTCCCGCATCGGGCTCCCTGCTCAGCAGGGAGTCTGCTTCTCCCTCTGACCCTCCTCCCTCTCATGCTCTCTGTCTCAAATAAATAAATAAAATCTTTAAAAAAAAAAAAAAGAAGCACATCGTATAAGGAGAGTTTTGGGTCTTGTGTATTCAAAGGGATCTGGTTTTGCTCCACCTATCATAAGTCCAACAAGGATTCAGCTAGGCCTGTTATGTGCTGAAAGCATTGATGCTGGGTCATTCAGCTCCCCACTGACATTTTTAAAAATATTTTACTTATTTATCTGAGAAAGAGAGAGAGTGCACAAGTTGGGAGGGGGCAGGGGTAGAGGGAGAAGCAGACTTCCCCCTGAGCAAGGAGCCCAACGTAGGGCTCGATCCCAGGATCCTGAGATCATGACCTGAGCCGAAGGCAGACGCTTAATGGACTGAACCACCCTGCCCCTCCACTGACATTTTGGATGCTTCCTTCCTGACTCACTCCCTGAGCTGGTGGATTCTTTCTTCTTCCTGTCTCTTTCCCAACTGCAATACAGAAACTACTCTTGCTTTCTGTACTTTGTCTCCTCATTTCCTATTAGGAATACAAAGGGAAAGGAAGAAGGCCTTTTCTCTCTGGACTATCTGGTAGTGAATCCACAAAATAAGCATCTAAATACTCTTTTTCCTGGATGAGTGGATGCTTGTCAGCCTGCTGGTGCAGAGCCTTCCTGGCTTGACTGTCCTGTGGAATCAAGGGGAAAATGTACAGTTGGTGGGATTTTTCAATCCATAGATTAATATATGCAGGAAATATTGCATGTCTTTGTTTTCTTTTAATTTAGTTCTGTTATAAAGATCCCCACCACCATCTGCCTTGCTGGTGGGCTCCCCCAAACTTCTGAGATTATGCAAAGGTATCCAGATCTTATGCGGCATCAAGATGCCAGGAAGGCCCTTCCAGGCATCAGATTACTTCTGAAACAACCACTGCCCAGTCCTGGCGGTTCCTTAAGTCTGATAGCTCGGTTATTTCCTTATGTCCCTGGAATCTTGGGTGGGGCCTGGCAGCTGGGTTTCAGAGATCCAACTCCATGTACCATGTCACCTGTGAACACTGGGGAGCAGGACCCCAAACCCTACTCCTTGAGAGGCTCCAGTTCCTTTCCGAACCTCTCAGATTCTCCAGTACCCCATCCCCTCTACTTCTTGAGCACGCATTGTAATCCTAATCTCAGGATTTGGGTTTCCACAGAAGATAATAGAGAGCCTTTGCCTTCATGTTGACTTGGCTTTTCTTGCCCACTGCCTGGCTGCTTGCTTGAAATTATGTATGTGTGACTATGTATAGAATGTAAAGACCCAATCCAAATTCATACTGCACAGGTTCCTTATCCATCTGGTAGAAAGTAAAACATGGGGCATCCATCCTAACCTTTCCCTGGAGTGCCTTTAGGAGAGGGGAGATGGTGTGGCACACTCGACCATGGACTGCTGGAGAATAAACTCTTGAAGATTCTTAAATGGCTCAAGAAGAAGGGATTCTGTCTAAGGGAAAGGGTCTATAGATTCCACCAGCCATTTGATTAGTCTAGCTATGTATTTAGTAACTAATATTAAAAAACTTGTATAATATTTAGTAATCAGCATTTATTATAAAAAATAAAACATTTTTTAATTGAACTGAGCATTAATAAGTAGCTACTAATATTGAAAACAGTTGTTAAATTCCTTTTAAGGTCTAAATAGTCATTTGACAAATCTTTGAGTGCCCTAGCCAAAGCCAGTGGGGCTAGATTTTTGAGCTGTAAGAAAAAGCAAGGACAATTTCATCCTCCACCTCTGAGAGAGGTAATGCTCATCTCCTGGGTTTGGAGAGGAGTTATCAGAATGTGCCTTGCTCTCCTCTTTCACCATGTATGTGTGTAGAATGCTTTCTGCCTACCCCTCTCCCCACTGCAATACTATACTCCTTTTGGCTGCCTAGCAAAGTTCTATTCATCTGCTAAGTCTCGACTCAAAGGCTCTATGAAACCTTCCTGAACTTCCCAACCAAATTCAGATGTTATTTCTTCCTCTGTCCCACTCTATTTTGTGCACGACTCCATTAGAGAGCATTTACAGAGTGAATTGTCACTGTTGGTTTATATGTCTGTCTCTGCCCTGAACTGTGAGTTCTCTGAGGACATTTATTGGGCCATTACTCCTAGTGCTGTAGAGAGGGGACAAAGTCGTTTAAAATATAGTCCCTGTCTTCTAAGAACTTACTGATCAGCGCTTTAGGGCAAAAAGGGAACTAGTTGTTAGGTAATTGTTTGCCTCACTCTGCCACTCTTCTGGAGGATCCAGGGAAAAGAATTTCTGGTTATTGTTTTAATATAGGCTTTATTACTATCTAGGTATGGTGAGGCCATCAGATCAGGAGACAGCTGCCATTGAGAAGATAATTTGTTATACTTACAGATGCAAAGGCAGGGGCAGGCCACGCCATGGGCGCCACACAGGAAAGCACCAGGGATGAGGCGAAACTGGACCAGAGTCTTTATTGTGGTTTCCATGGGAAGGAACAGGTGAGACAGGGTAAGCAGGTTTAGGTTTGCACAGTTTGAGTAATTTCAGCGGGTTCGGGGGCAGAGAGGCTATCCCTGGTTGTCTAGTACCTGGCCCAGGGATGATTAGAGCAGGTAGAGCTTCATAAAAGAGATGTGTGGGGGAATGGCCCCAGAATGGTTTGCTTCCTTTTGAAAGGCACATTTACTGGCAGGTTGTTTACCATCTTTAGAAACTGGCAACCTCGAGAGGGGCAGTCCCTTTAGGGGTAGCAAGTCTCCAGATGTCCAAGTATCAGAATACAGAAAATAAAAGATATGATTAATACAGTGGCCTTCCTCTTTGGGTTCCCTAACGCTGGGTGGAATCTCTGAAAATCAGGGTGAAAAGTTCTTTCTTCTGAGAAGCTTTTTCTGAACTCCCCTTCCAGAATAATTGCCCTTCTGCTGAGCTTATATTGTTTCTGGTGAAAAACTGTGCCAAACTTATTGGGATTGTTTGCGTGCCCATCTCCTCCATGACCTATGCGCTCCTTGAGAACAGAGGCTGTATATCCCATTGCAGGGACACCTAGCAGAAGGTGCTGCACAGAGTGGGTGTCCAGCAAATATTTGTTGAGGGAATAAAGATGTGAAAATTTGTGTTTCTTGATTTATGATGTACACACACAACACATATATACACCACTAAATTCTAGCCATCAGTTGAAGATTATAATTTGCAAGATAAGTTTTGTTTGGCAGGCTGTTAGAGAGGATTAGAATTTCAGATTTTAGAGAAAGCTGTCCCTTCTCTGGCTGGTTGAGTTGACCAGTCCTGAAGGCATGGTTATGTTTCACCTCTTCCTACCCCACAGCCATGGTTTATATGGTTCCTATTGGCCAAAGCCACTGCTGGCAAGGTGATCCCATAGACCTCATCTGGTGTTGAAAGGCCTTTGAAAGTGAATTAATGATCATTACTGGAGTTGGATGCCAGGCAATGTACTAAGGCACTTCATAAGCATGTCTCACTTCATCCCCGTAGCAATCCAGTGAGGTGAGCACTATTCATGTCTTCATTTTACAGCTAAACATACTAAAGCTGGGAGACCTTAAGAAACCCAAGAATCCATACCTATTGAGTGGCGGATGCAGGACATGAACTCAGGCTGATTCCAGAGCCTGCTACCCCAACCTCTGACTGAGGAACCCACCCCCGAGCATCATCCTCTTTTCATCCCACAGGTGCCAAGCAGTAGGAGGTGTTTCCTTGCATGTGGTGGCTCGATCCTCTCCGCACATCTGTGAGGTCCTGGTGAGTTCTGAGTCCTTTCCTTGTTGTGGGCTTGATCCCTGCTGGTCCGAGGGCGTCCAGTATGGTCCAGTAGGTCAGAGAGGGCTCAGATTTCTCATAGGGCCAGAAGATTGGTTCCAGATCCTCTGCTGCCATGTGACTGGGGTGTGGGGGTTGGAGAGCCCAAGGCTAGCTGCCCTCAAGTCAGCTAAGCTGGTAGGGGAAAGAGGGAACCCTGGGATCTTTGAGTTTTCCTTGGCCTCATGCCCTCACCACAGGCCTGCCATCTGTGGCCTTAGTAATGCCCCTGAATCAAGAGTATGAATAACAGACGGGAGGTGAAGAGTTTGAGACAGGCAGGAATTATGTCCATTTATGAACTAACGAAGCACCCTGCCAGGCACTTCACAGGCATAATCTAGCAAGGTGAGTGCTTGGACCCCCATCTCACAGATTGAGAAACTGGGGCAGAGAGGGAAGCAAATTGCCTAAGGCACACAGCTACCTAGTAAGTGACAGGGCAGGATCTGAACTAGGTTTCGCTTCTCATTCACACACACTCATTTATTGAATGCCTTTTTTTTTTTTTTTTAAGATTTTGTTTATTTATTTATTTGACAGAGAGAGAGAAACAGCATGAGAGGGGATAGGGTCAAAGGGAGAAGCAGGCTCCCTGCTGAGCCGGGAGCCCAATGTGGGACTCGATCCCAGGACTCCGGGATCATGACCTGAGCCGAAGGCAGTCGCTTAACCAACTGAGCCACCCAAGCGCCCATATTGAATGCCTTTTGTGTTCCATCTCTGTGCACTTGGGATATCAGTGAGCAGACGAAAGTCCCTGCTCTTACCGAGCTTACACTGTAGTGATACTAAGATGTAATCAGTACATAAGTGATATGATATAACTAGGCATATCCTATTCAAACTGCAGAAGAAGCAAAGACAGAGAAGTTGATGAGAGTTATGGAAAAGTACAGAGCTAAGTGTGGGAGATTGGGAATGCCAGGGGGTTGGCGGAGGGGGCAGACTGTAACAGAACCTTGTCAAGTAGGTAATGTCTGAGTGAAGACTGGAAGGATAAAGGAGGTGAGGGAGCTAGCCATGCAGATATCTGTGGAAGGGTGTTCTAGGCAGAGGAAACAGCTAGCGTAGAGGCAGCTTAATTCCAGGGTGACTCAAGACATAGATGAATGTGAGAAGACTCCTATTCTCAAGGAAGGAAAATGCTTGAAAACAGATTGCAAGCCAATCAGAGTGAGAGAGATCTGAACCAGCCCACGTAATACAGCTTGGGGATGGAGACTGATTTCTAGGTTCTCGTTAGAAAACAGGCCTTCTTCCTGCCTATGTCCTGAGGAGAAAAAAGAAGCTAATGTAACCGAAGAGGCTGGGGTCACCCTGGCTGTACACCCTCCATTAAAGCCTGCTTGCTGTTTCAACACCTCTGCCGTGCCCTTGGTCTCTCTGTTCCTGAGGGCATCTGTGATATGTACTGCCTGGTGCTGGTTCCTCAGGACTGCCCTGCAGGCAGCGTGGACAGGCCTGGACTCTCAGCTTCCTGGCTGGGCTCTGCACTTGTCTTCATTCAATGGTTCGTTGTCTGCTTCCGAGACAGATGGATGTTCTTAGTGCTGATGTCTCTGAATCCCCTCAATGGAGTCCTTGCTTGAGTTGGGGAAGCCTGCTCGCTGACTCTCCATAGAGAGGGGCACTGAGACAAACTGATGTGAGAGCTGTAGGCTGACCACTTGTTCATGTTGCTGCCCAGTATTGTGTCTGGGCTTCCTAAGGATCAGTTCAGGTCAAGTACTTACTGAGGCTGCTTTATACCAGCCCTGTGCTCTGAGGAATCTGACGTGCCCTGATCTGGAAATAGATAGTCTTATTATGTTTTGCAAGTTTCCACCCTGGACCCCACCCACCCGTAAGATAGAATGGTAGCAGATAAGTACTCCACCCTCTGTGATCTCCCTGGGGAGGTTGTCTGGAGCTCCTCTAAGCTTGATGGTCTTATTTTCCTTGGTCCTCATACCTCTGTTTGGGCTTTGATGTACCTCAGTTTGGGAACTATTTTAGAAATATTTCCACTCCAGCTTGGGCTTCTCCCTTGGACCTAATTCTTGCATTAGACCTCTGGCTTTTACCTGATGATAATGAGAGAGAGAGAGAGAGAGAGAGAAACTCTTAATTCCTGACAAAAGTGCAATGATAGAGGCCTGCTCGGGGTTCAGGGGAGGGGTTCCAGCCAGCCTAAGGTTGTTTTGTAGGCTTTCCTGGAGAAGAGGATGCCTGTATTGTTTGGATGCCCCAACCAGGAAGGCCCTTGGTCTGGGTGTATGGTCTATCTAGTCTTGGTAAGGAGACCAGTTGTCCCCTTATGCAAATATTCTTGCCTGCAAATCCTCCTGCTTCCTTCATAGATTGATTCCTAAATAGGAGACAAGGGTTTTCTGGTCCAACATGTAAGGGGCTTGGAAGTCAAAACTCCCAACCTCACAAGAAAAAGGTGAACAAACTGCAAATCATCTACTTTTCGTAGATCCATGAGAAAATGGAAGTCATAGGGCAGGTGCTGCCTGCAAAACTGGACAGACAGGTGGATACAGATAATCACAACTTACCAAGAGCAAAAGCTCAGGTAAGGAACCCCAGTGGTGGAGCTAGTACCAGGGTGGGAATACTTAACAGTAATTGATGAATTGCTGGAAGCTTTGTGTAGACAAACTTGAGAGTTAAAAATTTCAGGGAGGGGGCTACTTTTAGGGGGAGCCTGACATTTTTGTGAGTTTTGCCTCCAGGAGTCCTGCCAGGTCCCCCACAATAAAGAGTGAAGAAAAATCCTTTTGTGCTTCCAGCAGGGGGAATAGAAAAGTAGCTATTTTAGGGTGCCTGGGTGGCTCAGTTGGTTAAGTGACTGCCTTCGGCTCAGGTCATGATCCCAGGGTCCTGGGATCGAGTCCCGCATCGGGCTCCCTGCTCGGCGAGGAGCCTGCTTCTCCCTCTGACCCTCCCCCCTCTCATGTACTCTTCTCTCATTCTCGCTCTCTCAAATAAATAAATAAAATCTTAAAAAAAAAAAAAAGAAAAAGAAAAGTAGCTATTTAAAAATACATCCAAAGCATTATGTTCTCCTTAACATGGACTGCCCTCAAGAGAAACTACTTAACCAGAGCCTAACTGGCCCAGGGAAGGGAAATACCCAAGGCCAGCTAAAGGCTAAATACCTTTAGCCTTTCTGCCTTAACTAAGGGGGTGGGGGAAACGCAGCAACTGAGAAGCATTTGTGAAGGTTAAAGCCCATGGGCTCATTAAAAGACTGATACCTAATCATAGGACTATAGAATGCTTCCCTTCCCCCAACACCTTACCACCACATCAGTAGGGCCCCTGCATAATAACGGGATTACAAATGAAAGAACTGCATATCTCAGACCTTATTTTTTTTATTTTTTATTTTTTTAAGACTTTATTTATTTATTCATGAGAGACAGAGAGAGAGAGAGAGAGAGAAGCAGGCTCCCCGCAGAGCAGGGAGCCCGATGCGGGACTCGATCCCAGGACCCTGGGATCATGACCTGAGCCTAAGGCAGACGCTTAACCATCTGAGCCACCCAGGCGCCCTCTCAGACCTTATTTAAGACGTCTCTAGGGGGGCAGCTGGGTGGCTCAGTCCTTCGGCTCAGGTCATGATCCCAAGGTCCTGGGATCGAGCCCCGCATCGGGATCCCTGCTCGTCGGGAAGTCTGCTTCTCCTGCTTCCTCTCCCTCTGCTTGTGTTCCCTCTCTCCCTGTCTCTCTCTCTCTGCGTCAAATAAATAAATAAAAATCTTAAAAAAAAAAAAAAAGACGTCTCTAGGGAAATACAAGGACGGGGGGGGGGGGGCGGGTGGGAGGGGAGAAAAAATAAGAACACCAGAGGAAATTTACCTCTAACAACCTGTAGCTACAGTAAACAGTGAGCACAGCCTACCTCCAAACCAGATAAACTAAAGCCGCACGCTTGAGGCCTATTTTCTTCCACCCTTTTTACACAGTATATTATGTCTGGCTTTCAGCATAAAACTACAAATCATACCAAAAGACAAAAAAAAACACAACTTGGACAGAGCAAGCATCAGAATCAGACTCATAAATGGCAAAGATGTTGGAATTATCAGACTGGAAATTTAAAACATTAATATGCTAAGGGCTCTAATGGAAAAAGTGGACAACATTCAAGAACAGATGGGTCATGTAAGCAGAGAGATGGAAACTCTAAGAAACAATCAAAGGAAATGCTAGAAATAAAAAAACATTGTAACAGATGGGGCGCCTGGGTGGCTCAGTTGGTTAAGCGACTGCCTTCGGCTCAGGTCATGATCCTGGAGTCCCGGGATCGAGTCCCGCATCGGGCTCCCTGCTCGGCAGGGAGTCTGCTTCTCTCTCTGACCCTCCTCCCTCTCATGCTCTCTGTCTCTCATTCTCTCTCTCGCAAATAAATAAAATCTTAAAAATAAAAAATAAAGATTTAAAAAAAAAACATTGTAACAGAAATGAAGCACACCTCTGGTGAGTTCATCACTGAACTGGACATGGCCAAGGAAAGAATCCATGAGTTTGAACATATGTCACTAGTAACCTCCTAAACAAAAGAGAAAAAGGAATGAAAAATATGGAACAAAATACCCAAGAACTGTGGGATAGTTACAAAATGTGTAGCACACCTGTAAAGAAGAAAAAAGAGGGGCGCCTGGGTGGCTCAGTCGTTAAGCGTCTGCCTTCGGCTCAGGTCATGATCCCAGGGTCCTGGGATCGAGCCCCACGTCGGGCTCCCTGCTCTGTGGGGAGCCTGCTTCTCCCTCTCGCACTCCCCCTGCTTGTGTTCCCTCTCTTGCTGTGTCTCTCTCTGTCAAATAAATAAAATCTTAAAAAAAAAAAAAAAGAAAGAAAGAAAATCATAAGGAAGAGCAAGTACAGTACCATATGTATATTTATTGAAAAAAATCCACGTGTAGGTGGGCCAGGCCAGTTGGGTAGGGCACCCTGGGATGGCGATGTTCCATGGCCTGGTGGTTTTGGCTTAGTGGCAGCAGCCACCAGGATGGCCCACAGCAATGACAGTGGCCTAGAGATGCAATAAAGCTGCCCATCTGCTTGGAGGTACACCACGGGCCTGTGGCCATCAGCAGTTGAAGCTACACGTGAGTGCATCAACCTCTGAGGGTGTAGGCCACTGCAGGAAGGGGTCCACACTTCGCCCTGGAGGGGCCCAAGGTCCACGGCTGCCCCGGCACAGCCCTGAAGCATGTCTGGAGCACTCAAGGGGCAGGGGTAGTGGGATACGGGGCTCCCTTTGCAGCTCCCAGCACACACAGGGTACCCTGCACCCCTGCCTGGTCCTGGGCCCCCTGTGGTTGCCAACAGCCTCTGTGGGCCTCCGCAGATACCCAGAGAGCAGCAGGTATGACCTGCACCAGTCACCTTTTATTCAGTCTGTGACGACGGTGGGGATGGGGCAGTTGTAAATAAATGACTTGTGGCTTTTGTTGTCAACTCTAAAAAATTTCCATGTATAAGTGGACCTGCACGATTCTAACCCACATTGTTCAAGGGCCAACTGTATAGTCAAATTCAGAATATTCTAATACTGTAACATGGTGGTGTATTCACCATTTAACTCTAGTATAAAGGTTAAAGGACAAAGGTATTAAAAATAATTATAGCTACTATCATTTGTTAAAGAATCCACAATATAAAAAGAGATAAACTTGACATAAAAAATGTACAAAGAGGGAAAGTAAAAGGGTAGAGTTTTGCATATGGTTGAAGTAAAGTTGTTATCAGTACAGAACAGACTGCTGTATCTATAAGATATTTTACGTAAGCCTCATGGTAACCACAAAACAAAACCCTATAATAGATACGCAAAAGATAAAGGCAAGGGATTCAAAGCATAACACTACAGAAAATCATCAATTCACAAAAGAAGACAGCAAAAGAGAGAGAAAGGTACAAGGGAACTTTTTAAAAAACAGCCAGAGAACAATTAATCAGATGACATCAGTAAGCCCTTACTTATCAATAATTACTCTTGATATAAATGGATTAAAAAATAAGATCCAACTATATGTTGCCTACAAGAGACTCACTTCAGCTTTAAGGATACACACAGCTTAAAATGAAGAGATGGAAAAAGATATTCTATACAAGTGGAAACCAAGAGACAGCAGGGATAGCCACACTTAGACAAAATAGACCTTAAACCACAAACTATAACAAGAGACAAAGGAGTTCATTATATAATGATAAAAAGGTCAATTCATCAAGAGGACATAACAATCATATATGTACCCAACATTAGAGTAACTATATTAAGTAAATACTAACATCTGAAGGGAGAAATATACAACGATCCAGTTATAGTAGGGGAATTCAATACCACACTTTCAACCATGGGTAGAACATCCAGACAGAAAATCAATAAGAAAATATTGGACTTCAACTACAGACCAAATGCACCCAACAAATATATGCAGAACACCGCATTAAAGAGCAGCAGAACATACATTCTTCCGAAGTGCACACATAACACTCTGCAGGACAGATCATATATCACAAAACAAGTCTTAGCAAATTTAAGATTTAAATCATACCAAGTATCTTTTCCAACACACTGGTAAGAAACTAGAAGTCAGTAACAAGAGGAAACCTGGAAAATTCACAAATATGTGGGAATTAACACACTCCTGTACAACCAATGGGTCAAAGAAGGAATCAAAAAAGAAAAAATTATCGGGGTGCCTGGGTGGCTAAGTCGGTTAAGCATCTGCCTTCAGCTCAGGTCGTGATCTCAGGGTCCTGGGATCGAGCCCTGCATCGGGCTCCCTGCTCAGTGGGAAGCCTGCTTCTCCCCCTCCCTCTACCTGCCGCTCCCCCTGCTTGTGCTCTCTCTCTGTCAAATATATAGATAAAATCTTTAAAAAGAAGAAGAAATAAAAAATTATCTTGAAACAAAATAGAAACACAACATACCAAACTTACAGCAAAAGCAGTGTTAAAATGGGGAAGCTTATAGTGACAAATGTCTACATTAAAAAAAAAAAAAAGACTTCAAATAAACAACCTAACTTCACACTTAAGGAACAACAAAAAGAACAAACCAAACCCAAAGCTAGCAGAAAGAAGGAAGTAACAAAGACTAGACCAGAAATAAATGAAATAGATGCCAGGAAAAAAAATAGAAAACATTAATGAAAAAGCTGGGTTTTTTAAAAGATAAAATTGACAAGCCTTTAGCTAGACAAAGGAAAAAAAAGAGAGAGGACTCAAAATCAGAAATGAGAGAGCAGAGATCATACCTAATACCACAGAAAAACAGAGCATAAGAGACTACTAAAACAATTATACACCAACAAATTAGATAATCTAGAAGAAATGGATAAATTCTTAGAAACATACAACCTAACAAGACTGAATCATGAAGAAATAGAAAATCTAAACAGATACACAATGAGTAATTGAATCAGTAATCAAAAATCTCCCAATGCAGAAAGGCTCAGGACCAGATAGTTTCTCTGCTGAAGTCTATCAAACATTTAAAGCATTAATATTAACCATTTTCAAACTCTTGCAAAAAAAACTGAAGAGAAGGGAAGTCTCTCAAGCTCATTTTATGAGGCCAGAATTGCCCTGATAGCAAACACAGATAAGGACACTGTAAGAAAACTACAGACCCATATCCCTGATGAATATAGATGCAAAACTCTCAAAATATTAGCAAACATCATATTAGAAGGATCATACTAGGGGCACCTGGGTGGCTCAGTCATTAAGCGTCTGCCTTCAGCTCAGGTCACCATCCCAGGGTCCTGGGATCAAGCCCCATATCGGGCTCCCTGCTCCGCAGAAAGCTTGCTTCTCCCTCCCCCACTCCCCCTGCTTGTCTTGTGTTCCCTCTCTCGCTGTGTCTCTCTCTGTCAAATAAATAAATAAACTTTTGGAAAAAAAAAGGGGGGGGTCATACCATGATCAAGTAGGATTTATCTCTGGGATGTAAGGATGGTTCAACATATGCAAATCAATTAATATGATATACCACATTGACAAAGTGAAAGATAAAAATCATATGATCATCTCAATAGATACAGAAAAAAGTATTTGACAAAATACAACATCCAAACATTGATGAAAGAAAGACCTAAATAAATGGAAAGACCTCCCTATTTGTGGATTGGAAGATTTAATATTGTAAAAGTCCTGGGACGCCTGGGTGGCTCAGTTGGTTAAGCGACTGCCTTCGGCTCAGGTCATGATCCTGGAGTCCCGGGATCGAGTCCCACATCGGGCTCCCTGCTCTGAAGGGAGTCTGCTCCTCCCTCTGACCCTCCCCCCTCTCATGTGCTCTCTGTCTCTCTCATTCTCTCTGTCTCAAATAAATAAATAAAATCTTTAAAAAAAAAAAAAAAAGTCCTAACAGATTCAGTGCAATCCCTATCAAAATTTCAATGGCCTTTTTACAGAAATGGATAGCTGATCCTGAAATTCATATAGCAAGGGACCCAGAATAGCTAAGATAATCTTAAACAAAAAGGAACAAAGTTTAAAGACACACATTTCCAATTTTAAAACCTATTAGAAAGCTACACTAATAAAAACTGTGGTACTAGAATAAAAATAGACACATAGATCAATGAAATATAGAGTCCTGAAATAAACTCATACATCTATAGCCAACTGATTTTTGACAAAGGCACTAAGACCATTCAATGAGTAAAAATAGTCTTTTCAGTAAGTGGTACTAGGACAAGTAGCTAGCCACACAAATGAATTTGGATCTCTACTTCACACCATATACAAAAATGAACTCAAAATGGTTGACAGACCTATATAAAACACTTAGAAGAAAACATAGGGTAAATCTTAATGACTCTCGATTAGACAACAGTTTCTTAAGACACGACACTAAAAACACAAGCAACCAAAGAAAAAATAAATAAATTGGACCTTATCAAAATAGAAAACTTTTGTGTGTGTCAAAGGACACTATTAAGAAAGTGAAAAGACAACACACAGAAGGGGAAAATATATTTGCGAATCCTATATCTGATAAGGGTCTATTATGGGAATATATAAAGATCACTTACAACTCAATAATAAAAACAACAAAAAATTAAAAAGACAAAAAGCATAATTTAAAAATAGGCAAGCTCCTCCTGCTTGTGCTCTCTCTTTTTCTCTCTCTCTCATGAATGATTAAATAAAATCTTTTTTAAAATATGGTAAAAAACATAATATAAAGCCTATCTTAACCATTTTTAAGTGTCCATTTCGGTAGTGTTAACTATATTCACATTGTTGTGCAGTGGATCTCTGGGACTTTTTCATGCAAAACTGAAACTCCATACCAAACCCCTGGCAACTACCATTCTACTTTGCTTCTACAAAGTTGACTACTTTAGATACCTCACATAAGTGGAATCACACAGTACCTGTCTCTTTGTGGCAAGCTTATTTCACTCAGTATATCCTCAAGGTTCATCCATGTTGTAGCATGTGACAGAATGTCCTTCTTTTTTAAGGCTAAATAATATGTATGTATGTACTTCATTTCTTTATCCATTCATCCATCAATGGACTTTTGGGTTACATGTCTTGACTATTACGCTTAATACTGCAATGGATATGGGTGTGAGTTTTGTTGTTTTTGTTTTAAATTTTTTATTTTTAAATAATCTCTACAGCCAACATGGGGCTCAAATTTACAACCCCGAGACCAAGAGTTGCGGGCTCTACCGACGAACCAGCCAGGCGCCCCTAGTGTGAGTTTTTTTTAACAGGTTTACTGAGATATAATTCACATAACCATAGGTCATTCATTTAATGTGTACAATTCAATGGGTTTTAGTATATTCACAGATATGTGCAACCATTGCTCCAGTCAAGTCAAGAACATTTTCATCACCTCAAAAAGAAGCCTTGTGCCCTTTAGTTGTTATCCCTTATCCCACCATCCTCCCCCTCCGGCCCTAAGCAACCACTGAGCTACTCTCTGTCTCTACACATTTCCCTATCCTGGAATTTCAAAGGAATGGAATCATATAATATGTGGTCTTTTGTGACCAGCTTCTTGTGACACATAACCTTAGCACAAGGTTTTCAGGGTTCATCCACGTTGCAGCATGTGTCAGTACTTGACTCCATTTTGTGGCTGACTAATGTTACATTGTATGGTTAACCATATTTTGTTTATTCATTCAGGAGCTGGTAGACATTTGGGTTGTTTCCACCTCTTAGCTGCTATGAATAATGCTGCTATAAACAACTGTGTGCACGGTTTTGTGTGGACATACGTTTTCATTTCTTTTGGATATATATACTTAGATGCGGAATTTCTAGGTCATATAGTACCCTGTATTTAATCATCTGAGGAATTGCCAGGTCCTTTTCCACAGGAACTGTACCAGTTTTACATTTCTACCAGTAGCATATGAGGGTTCTAATTTCCCCACATCCTTATCAACAATTACGACTTTTTTATTCTAGCCATCCTTTTAGGTGTAAAGTGGTATCTTGTGGTTTTTATTTGCATTTCCCTAATGGTTAGTGATGTGGAGCACTGGCCATTTGCTTATCTTCCTTGGAAAAATTTCTATTCAGATCTTGTGCCCATTTTTAAATTGGGTTGTCTTTTGATTATTGAGTTGTAAGAGTTCCTTATGTTTTTTAACCTAAGTCCCTTTTATGGCATGTAAATTGCAGACATTTTCTCCCATTGTGTGGGTTGTCAAATTATAGCTACAGATCTCCCTCTGATCCCTACTTTCACTCCATGTTTTGCTATGTTGTGTTTTTGTGTTTGGAGTACATTGTATGTTCATTTTCATTCTTCTCAAGCATCTTCCCTAGTATGTGCTGATTTGCTTCTGTCTTGCTTTCAGAATTCTCCCTATGTCTTTTGAGAGTTTGATTGGGTTCTGTCTAGGGCTGAATCCCTTTGAGTTTATCCTACTTGGAGCTCATGAATTTCTTGGATGTGTAGCTTCATTTTTGTCACCAAATAGGGGAAACTTGTAGCCATGATTTTTTCAAGTATTCTTTCTGCCCTTTCTTCTTCTGTGTATGTTGGTGTGCTGCATGGTGTCCTGTAGGTCTCTGAGCCTCTGTTCATCTTTCTTCATTCTGCTGTTCCTCACACAGGTCAACTTCAACGGACCTATCTTTGAGCTTGCCGATTTCTTCTGCCTGGGCGTGTCAAATTAATTTTTTAAATCTCAGTTATTATACTTTTCAACTTGCATTTGGTTCCTTTCTGTAATTTTATTTTTTTTATTTTATTTTTTTTAAAGATTTTATTTATTCATTCATAAGAGACAGAGAGAGAGGCAGAGGGAGAAGCAGGCTCCCCGCCAAGCAGGGAGCCTGATGCGGGACTCGATCCCAGGACCCTGGGATCATGACCTGAGCCGAAGACAGACACTTAACCATCTGAGCCACCCAGGCGCCCTCCTTTCTGTAATTTTAAAGATTTTTTTAAAATTTATTTATTTGAGAGAGAGAGAATGAGAGACAGAGAGCATGAGAGGGAGGAGGGTCAGAGGGAGAAGTAGACTCCCTGCCGAGCAGGGAGCCCGATGCGGGACTCGATCCCGGGACTCGAGGATCATGACCTGAGCCGAAGGCAGTCGCTTAACCAACTGAGCCACCCAGGCGCCCCTCTTTCTGTAATTTTAGTCTCTTTACTGATATTCTCTATATAGTGAGACATCATTCTTATTCTTTCCTTTAGCTCTTTATACATGGTTTTCTTTAGCTCTGGGAATGTATTTAAAATAGCTGATTTAAAATCTAGTACTAGGGTAAACTAACGCATTACCAAGCTTGCTGTTCCTACCAAGGTTCTACTGTCTGTCTTAACTGAAGGCACTCTGGGTTGCTGCAGGCTTTTGATTAATTTCCAGAGTTCTCTGAAAGTTGATTCTGATAATATGTGGCAAGTTTTTCATTGCTTTTATGGAGGGAACGAACATTTGGTGGTTATTACTGGACCACTTTTGTTGACTCCTTGCTTGCATTTTGATTCAAACAAACTACAGAAAGATATTTTTGAGACAGTTGGCAAAAACTGAACACAGAATGGTTATTAGATTATTAAAAACTTTATTTTGATGGCCAGGAAAATTGTATTAAGGTCACATATATTTTTAAAGACCTGTTAGAGCTACATAGTGGTATTTACAGTTTTCTTTGATTTGCTTTCAAATACTCCAGCTCACAAAAATTATGTGTGGGAAGACAGCTATGAAATATCGGCACATGTTGATGGTTGTTCGAACTGGGTAATGGGTACATGGAGGTTCACCATTTAATTTTGTGTTTGAAAATTTCTATAATAAAATGTTTCTTAAAAGATGAGGTGTACCCTTGGGTCCACACAAGGATGCCTTGAACTGGTAAAAAATAATTGAGCTCCTAACTGGCCTTGGGTAGAAGGGAGTAAAACAACGCCTAGATGATAGGCAGGCTGTGATATCGAGAGCATGAAGGCTAAAGAGATAGAATCAATCTGGCATCCCCAGGGTAAAAGGACAAGTTATACCACAAGTGAAGACACGTAACCGTGTCTTGGTCTGGAAGGCAAATAAAGGTCAAGTCCGGACTGCTCCCTAATCCTGACTCCCAAGTCCATGGTCTCAGCCACCATCCCTGCCACATCCCAGGGTGGTGGGAAAGATTGCTTTCCTAGGACTGGCCAAAGAAGTGTACCCCACCTGAGGCCATTCCATCTGGCTTGAACAGGACTGTGGTCAAGATCCAAAGCTGGAGCTACGCATGAGGTGACAGGCCTCCAAGGGCAGAGGCCTCCAAGGGAGGAGGTAGGTTTCTGACCTTCTAAGTGACCCACAGCCTTAAGACATCAGCTGGGCAAAGGGAGCACTCCCTGATGACCCCAGACTTCAGTCAGTGAAGCCCCAGTAATCTTAAATGACACTGTAAAATATGCACTTGTAAGACCTGTATACCATATTCCTATAAAGGAACTCAAACCCTGAGGGAGGGAGCATGGGAGATCTACCCAGAAGAGTTCCCACAGGGCAGGATAGTGAAGGCCTGGGGCACTGGGTGCTCTCACATTCAAAGCCCAAGGGAACCCTACCTGCCTGCTCTGCTGCCAGCTTTCCAAGTGGGGACAAGAGCCACCAGGGACCACAGGTGCCCTGTGGCCTTAGCGAAATGAATAGGGCTTGGGAAACAGGAACCAAAGGAAGGCAGTCAAGAACCTGCCATTCTTTTCCTTTCCCAAGGAGGAGGAGAAGGAAATATATTTTAAGACACAAAGAGCCCTTCGACTTGTCTTTGGACACAGCTGGGGGATCTGAACCTCCTCTGAAGCCAGGTTAGGAAAAGAGAGGCCGAGGCAGGGGCTGGGGCACTGCCAGGCAGAGAGCCAGCTGCCGTGGCCCTGTGGGAAGAAGCTAGCTGACCCCCTCACTGGCACCCCAGTCCGGGGCGCCACCGAATGAAGCCCTGTCAGAAAGGGGGACATGAGCTGACAGGTGCCTGAAGCAATAACACAAAATCCTTAGCAGATCAGGGTCTTCTTGCGGCAGGAGGGCCGAGGAGAGAGTCCGAATGGGGTGGGGAAGGCGTGCACAGGACAAAGGGCCTGGGAACATTGCTACTCTGCTCGCTGTGTCATCACGACCACTGTGTTGGGCAGAGCAGGATGGCTCCCTGGTGAGAGGCAAGTCTGGCAGGTCTAGGAAGTACAGTCTGCGGGTCCCTTTGGAAAATGAGGAGCCAGAAGATGCCACACACCTTCCATGCGAGGTGAGATTTGAAACCAGCACCCTGTGTGCCGCCACCCAGAGTCCCTCACTGAAGGTGCCCATGGCCCCAGGTCCATACTGCAACTACTCGATTAAAGAACAGCTTTATTGGTAACCTGACGGAACCAAGGTTACCTAGGTGGTGTCAGCCAATCACACGATCCATGGGAGTTCCTGACAAGAGGTCAGATCTCCACTCCTAATCATAAGAAAAATTCCAAATCCTGGTTTCAGAGTGAACAAAAAGGTCGGAGGGTATCAGTCCCCCTGCTTGTGGGGCTCAGGGGGCTGGCTGAGTTGTTCAGTAACATCTGTGGGGCCGCGCAGACAAGGTAGAAGCCAGGAATGCCACGGGAAATCGCCCCAAGACGAATTTCCAAGAAGGTTCACACTCGGGCAGGGCATGGACCCTGGCCCTGAGATTGCACTTTGGGTCTGACGTGGGTCACCGAGTGGGCCTGGGTATCAGAGAACCCCGCCTGCTGGCCTCGGCATGTGGAGGCTCAGCAGCGCCGCCACAGCCTGTCACATGTCTCAGCTCCTCAGTGCTGGGGCGTCCCCAGCTTCCTGATGGGATACAGGTACCACATCACCACCCCTGAGGGGTTGATGATCACTGTGAAGTTGGTTTTAGAGTGGAGGCCACTGATGACATCACCCGTGTAGACGTTCTGGGCCTGCAGTGGGAGGACACAGCACCAAAACCACTACAAGAACAGCTGCACAGAGCCCCCCTCCGAGGGCTGGAAGGCCTGGACTTCGGCCTGTCTGTGGTGGGCCTCTGGGGTGCCCCGCAGAAGTGAGAGCCCTGCACCTCCCGTCACTTCTCCACTGGCAAAGCCAGCAGTGGCCCAAACACGCAGTGGCGAAAGCCCCAGCCCACGGCCAGCCTGAGGAACGTGCTGGCAAGGACTGACCAATAAGGGGACGCAGCCTCAGAGCCCAGGCCTCAAGTATACAGAGTAGTTCTGTTTGCAGAGCTTGAAAACACCAGTGCACAGAAGGGTACCAGCAGAGCCCTGCATGCCTGCAGCTGCCCCTTGGGCTCCTGCCAGAGGACCCAGGGTCCAAGGCCGAGGGGAGGCCACGTGTGAGGGAGCACCACCCCCAGCAAGCGCCCCCAGGGGAACCCGCAGCCCCGCAGGTAGCAGGGTACTCACCTCATACGTGCTGGAGTTGTCAAAGTTCAGCTGGGCGAGGGAGGTGTGGTAGTGATAAGGCATATCTGTCCGGCGGCTGAAGAAGACTAAGGCGCTGGCCTCGTTGGCCAGGGGCCGCATGAACACTTCAATGTGGGATTTCTCCTGGGCACAGAACGTGGCTACCGGCTGGCCTCCCTGCTCAGGCAGGCCCTGAAATCCCCACCCTCGCCCTCCTTTGAGCTCCGGGTCTCCCCAGCCCGCACTTCCATGTCATGCAGAAGTTTGAGGGGATACCCCGGCCCTCCAGCACCCCAACTTATTCTTGCCTGACTCAGCAGATGCTCCCTGACACCTCCTGTGTGCCAGGCCCCATGCTAGAACACAGAGACAAATGCTGTATGAGGTCCTGTCCCAGAGAGCTCGTAGGATAAGGGGAGGGATAGACATGGGCAGCTGCTGGCGCTGGAGTGGAGGGCACTGTCCAGTAAGAGCGATGAACTCTGCCCTGAGCAGCCAGGAGGGTGAAGCCCCACCTTCCAGAAGGTCCCTGGGCCTGGTCCCACCATAAGTCCCTCCGGTAGGGATTAGTCACTTCCTCTGGGCATCACCAATTCTGCATGTGCCTTCTCTAAGTTGTGTGGATTTCTTTTAACTAGAGAGGTGAGGATCTGTGCAAGCTTTGAGGCTCTACTGTTGGAGTTAAGTTCTACTGTACCATTTACTAATTGTGTGGCCTTGGGTTACTCAGACTCCTCAAGTCTCAGTTTCCTCATTTGTAAAACAGGGAAGGAGTATTCACCTTCTGAGAAAAGGTACCCAGAATGCCCAGTACACAGCAGGTTCTCAGTAGTTAATGCTAGTCTCGTACTAGTAGTAGTTGCATTCCTTGGCTCAAACAACTCCTAAGCTCAGGAGGGAAGCCCTAGTTCTCTGCCAGACATCACAGACGCGTGCAGAAGTCTTGTACTTCCAACCCGAGGGGCCCCACTGTCCCGTGTGTATTTGTGGGGTGATGCGTCTCTTCCCCAGATCCCATGAGCTGTCCTGCTCTGGCAAAGGGGGGGAATGGCTGGAGCAGCTCCCAGTAGAATCCTTGACTGAATGCAACCCGGAAGTTAGGGCTGAGCAGATTTCAGAGGCCCAGCCCTCTGTGACCTCCAGGCTTGCAGCCTTGTTCTCAGGGGAGCCCAGTCCCTTGGCCTCGCCTTCCCTCTCCCCACACCCCAGTACCTTGAGAATCCTGCGTCCCTGGATGCCCAAGGGATCCTGGTTGATTTTGATCATGAGTGGATTCTGCAGAATGTCCATGTTCTGGGCAGAGATGGTACGCAGGTCGGTGGACATGAAGAGGGGGGCTGCCAGCACTGTCCATAGGGCCATCTGGGCCCGGGCTTGCTCAAAGCTGAGGCCAAAGTTCCCTATGAGCAGCTGGGGGCAGAGAAGAGAGGAGCGTTCAGCTCTATTCTCTCCAGGGAGGTAGGCACGAGGCCCAACCCTACACATGTAGCCAAGGCAAGAGGAGATGGAGGAGGACAGTCTGTGGGGCCTGGTCTGTGAACACCATTTCCCAGCGGCGTGGCCTTGGGGTTAGTGAGCACTCTCCCTGTGAACCTCAGCTTTTTATTTCACCAAGAATATGGGGTGATAATATGTTCTGGCCACATCACAGGTTGTTCAGATGATCCAACGGGATCCCCTTGCCAAAAGCGTTTATAAACTGGAACACCAACGTCAAAAAATACAGTCAGAGTGGAAGCGGTAGGTAACCAGACCTGGACAGAGTCCCTGCTCCTGCCCCTAGCCATCCACCTGCCCTAGCCACAGGTGACAGGACCAAGGGGGGACTTCCTGACCCCAGGGCAACCAGTCCACAGACTGGACACAAACAATCACTGTTAACGCAACATGGTTACGTACTTAGTGATACCAATTGAACAATCATCGTGTGTGTGCCAAACTATGCCGAGCATTTTAAAGGATCATCCGTTTCAGTACTCAGCAACCATATATGAGGTAGCTACTATTCTCATTTTCCAATTGACAAAACTGAAGCAGCACAGAAAAAATTAAGTCACTTTCCCAAGGATAAGTGGCAGAGCAGGAACTAAAACTCCAAAGCAGGCCAATTTGTTTCTCCAGGCGTCTATCTGGCCTATGTAATAATAATATGTACGATAATGTAATTGTGATAATCATCACTGGTAGTAAATGCTTGTTGGAATGAAGAGACAGCTATAAAGTCATTAAGATAAATTGCAAAAAAAAATCTAAGTCACCAGGGCTCTGAGTGAGGCAGGTACGAGGGGCCCACTCTGCCCATAGAGGCTCCACAGGAGGGTACCAGGGCACAGGGCAGGGCAGTCTAGGGAGGGAATGGCAAGAGTGTGTGGACTTTTCATGATCTTCACCTTCCAGAGGACTAATGTCACACAAGAGTCACTACAGACCAAGTTCTCAGGTTTCAAGAAACATCAGAACTGCCTGGGAAGATGGTTAACAATGGGCATTGCAAGGCCCTCTTCGAACATTCTGATCCAAGAGGTGGGGGTGGGGCCCTGGGATCTGATGGGTAAACAAGCTCCCATGGTGAGTCTAACGCAGCTGGTTCAAGGACACGTTTTAGAGACACTGATCTAGAACCTGGCGGTGAGCATCCAGGAAGACAGCACAGGGCAGTGGGGAGCAGGTCTGTCGTGGCCATCCCCCTCCATGCTGGTACCATGTCTGGGTCGTTCCAGTGCCCAGGGCCTGCCACCGGCTGCAGGATGTCCTGGTTGTCCACAAACCAGTTCAGGATGGAGAGCACGCTACTCCAGGAGTCCTGGATGTCATCATAGTTGCGCCAGAGGTTGCAGATTTCTGCCAGCAGAGTGTAGTTCACCTGGATGTTGGGGGAAGGCAGAGTCCAGCACCAGAGTCACGCCCTGCCGCCTGGAAGCGGGCATAGGGGCTGAGGAGCCTCAGCAGGAGACACGGAGGGCAGGGGAGGGGGAGTGGGGAGAGAACAGGCCCTGAGCCAGATTAGGATGAGGAAGGCGTCCCCTGCCCTCTCATGCCACCTGGGGCCAAGCCCAGGGTATGGGCCCAGACTGGTGTACCCACAACCCTCCCCATCGCACTCCCACCCCTGTATTCTCTCAGTGAGTCCCACCATCTGCCAGCCTCTCCCTCTGGTCTGATCCCACCCTTTCTAGTATCCTTGGTGTTGAAGGGCCCCTGGGGAGGCTCAGCCCCACCTGCCTGGCCTCACCAGCCTTCTGGACCTCCTGGCCCACTCAGTACAACCAGGATTCTGCCCACTTGCTGGATGATGTATGTCAGCCCATGACATGTGGTTCCTATGCCTTGGACGCCCATCCCTTCAGCCCACCTCACAAGTGTCTCTATTCTCTAGACCCAGGGCTGGCTGAGGCCCCCCCGGGGTACTTATAACCCTCTCCTAGACCCACAAATCAGCACATGGGCAACTATGATGACAGCAGCCCTGTCTGCACAGGAGGCAAGGAAGCTTGGGTATGGGGCGCACTGCCAGGCAGGTGCACAGAATGGCTTACCTTTGGGGGAAGGCCCCCTTCATAGGCTGGCCAACTGCAGGAGAAGGCAATGGGGCGGCCTGTGGCATTCAGGGCAGCTGCCATCTTGGGGTACCCTGGAGAAGCCCAACCCCCACACCTTAGGACTGAGGAGGCTCAGGAGGAAATCTGAGGCCTCAGCCCAAACCTCCCACCAAATGTGAGGAAACTGAGACTCAAAAGAGGAGGTGCATCCCCCTGTACCCAGAGCTGCACACATTTCCTTGGTGGGGCATGGTGCCAACCCATCTGTCGGAAGCCTGGGAGGCAAGAATCCCCCCAGCCTCTGGGTGCGGGGAATTGGGAAATACTACCCCCTAGAGGCCATATGGACAGAGGAGCTCAAGTTCAGCCAGGTGGGCACCTGTGAGCTTTCCATGGCAGCCCCTCCCCATCTACCTGATGGTCCCCAGCCAGCTCTAGGACCCACCCTTGGCCCGTTCCTCAGGGGTCGAAAAGCAGCCATCCAACTTCAGCATGTCCACCTTCCACTCGGCAAAGGTTTGAGCGTCCTGAATCACCTTGTCTAGCGTGGTGCCTGGGTAGCCCATACAGGTGAAGTTGCCCATGTCCCCGTAGATGCCCAGCTTCAGGCCCAGGGAGTGAGCCTGTGGAGGGTTGAGGACACCATAGGCTCAGGCGGGGAGCCACCTCACAGGCACATCTGACCGGGCCCCATTATAAAACTATCAACGGCTCCCCACTGTCCAAAGGAAAGGGTCTCAGTTTGCCGGCCTGGCCTCTGCTAACCATGGTCCTTCTCCTCACTCCCAACACACACCTCCCATTGGCAGTTTCTGGCTTCTAGGCCTTGCTTCTGCCATCCCCTCTGCCTCAAATACCAATTCTCTTGTATCAGCTCAAGAATTGTCTCCTCTGGTGAATCTGAAATCCCAGGCTGGATAAGATGCCTTTCCTGGCTCTTACCCACCACAGTGGGCCCAAATGAGCTGTTCATTTATCTGTTTCCCCCAACAGACTGTGAGTTCTTAAGCAGGGATTGTGGAAATGAACCCTAAATGAAGTGGTGGCTGTGGGGGGGGGGGGGTGTGGTGTGGACCCCCACCTAAAGGGCAGGGCTGGGGTGGGGCTCACATAGTCAGCCAGGAAGGCAATGCCGTTGGGGAAGCGCTTGGGGTCGGGCACCAGGCGGCCTTTAGCGTCACGCCCACCAATCCAGCAGTCATCGATGTTAAGGTATGTGTAGCCTAGGTCCCGCCATCCATCCTGTGCCAGGTGGTCAGCCATCTCCATGAAGAGCCGCTCACTGGTGATAGGCAGGGGATGGGGCAGCTCAGTCACTCCCCACCCCCTTCTTAAGAGCTTTTCAGACTTCTCAGATAATCTGAGTGTGAATCCAGGCTATAAGAACCATAATCATGGTGGAATGAAAGGAGTGGCTGGGCCCCCAGGCTTGCAAGACTGAGCCAGCCTGGCTTTCACAGTTACCTTTCAGTGACCTCTGGGTCTGGGTCCACCATAATGCCCCTGCCCCACAGGCCTGACAGTCCCCAGAGAGGCCCCAAGCAGGTCACAGGCTGTCTCAGATGTCCCAAAAGTCACCTCCGGCTGCATTCTCTCTGGAATGGGGTGCTCTGACCCTGCCCTCTTTTCTAGCTGACCCTCCACTCTCTGCCCCCACTCTGCTGGGTCTTGAGCAAGGCTTGTGAGGTGGCGGGCCTTCCTCACCTGATGCAGTTCTTTGGGTCCTCGTCACAGTTGATGTTGCAGCGAAAGCGTTCCCAGGCCAGCCAGCCCATGGGTGGCTTCTGCAGAAGCCCATTCTCTAGCATCAGCACCTGGGCCACCAGGGCCAGCAAGACCACTGCAGGGGGGTTGGAAGGATGACTGTCAGCAGCTCCCATAGCCCCAGCCCTGACGCCACCCCATCCCAATGCTGTTCGGCTCTGCAGAGGCCACTGGCCTTCACCTTAGGGGAACCAGACTCCTGGGCTTAAGGTAGAACTAGCTCTTCCTGCAACTGCTGGCCCCTGCAATCTTAGGGAGGGGGCTCATGGTGCCTGGGGCAGGGCAGTGCGCTTGAGGCCTGAGTCCCCACTTGCTGTCCCCACAGCAGTGCTGGAATTCGTAAAAACTCACGCCTGAGGTTGCGTCCTTTCTATACCCTGACCAGCTCCCCCCATATACACAGAACTTGATAGAACACGGTAGTCAGACTCCGGGTCTCCCATCCAGAGCTCTCCACCACAGGCCCGCCCCAAGAGGCCTCGGAAGGACTTAAGGGGTCAGCCAGCTTGGACCTGCACCTAGCCAGCCCACCTGGGTGAACCCTTGCCCCTCAGGCCTGTTTCCTTATCTATAAGATAAAGTTACTGTACTGACCTAACAGGGCTGTTCTCTGCCATGTTGATAACACATAAACTAGGACCTCTGCACTTTGAGGGAGAGAGGACATGAAAGGAAGAGGCCTCTTTGGAGGGAAACTGATTCCTACGTGGGGAGGATCTCCTTTCTGGCCCAGCTCCAAGAATGAGAGGAACATGTCTCCCCACATTCCCACATCAGGGAAGGAGGCCCAGACACCAGAGGGCTGGACCTTCCTCCAGGTAGCCCCTACCCCCAACGGGTCACCTACCCGCCCCAAACCACCCCCACCCGCGTAGATACCTGTCTTCAGCAACATTGCTCTGGACTCAGCGTCTCAGACCTGACCGGATCTGCTCTGCTTTTACCAGCTTTCTACGTTGGACTTTGGAAGCTATGAAACGTTAGAAAAGCACTGGGGTCACTACTGCGTCGCTAGCTCCGCCGCCCTCAGCCTTGGGCGTGGACCCCCCACTCCGTCCCGAAGCCGCCCTCATTGCCCACCACTCCCGGCCCCCAGCCATCACTTCCCCGAGCCTGGGGAGGCCTCAGAAATACTGAACAAGGTGTCTTAGACGTTAGACCCCACCCTCTCTGTAGTGCTGGGAACCCCGAGCGCCCACGGGCGGTCTTCCGCCGGGCCGGGGCCACAAAAAGGCAGCGGTCGCCTCTGGGACGCCGGGGAAGAACTGAGGCGTCGGGCTGGGACCAGGCTTCGCACTCCCACCGGGTCTGGGTTGCCCCCGGCCCCCAGTGACCGCAGCCCAGCAGCCCCAGAGCGGGGTCCCTCCCCCAGAGTGCCCCACTCACGGAACTCACCCCGCGGACGCCCACAGAACGCCACCCGCCTCCGCCTCTGCCGCTGAGGCAGCCGACCAATGCTGTAACCCGATTGGCCCACTGCGTTCCAGGGGGGCGGAGCCTGACGGCGGCACGCCTTCCCCGGCGGAACCTATCAGAATCCCTATAGCAACGTCATGTCCCGCCCCCTGTGGGCTCAATAAGCCCTCCCCCGAAGCTCCCAAAGCCCGCCCCCTTCGAGCTCCGGCTCTGAGCCCACCCCCGGCGGGCACCAGCCGAGCGGGTTTAAGAACTGGGTGACCTGGGTACCACGGCTCCCGCAGAGGGTAGTCCTTTCACCTCTGCGGGGTCCCTGAAGGCAAGCGTAGTGCCCGGCACAATGTAGACGCTTAGTAAATAGTATGGCGTGAATATCTGCTCTATTAAAAGGAAGTGAGGAAATGCCATGAAGCACGACCCAAAATAAGCCACTCAAAAACGGTAGTCCAGGGCGCCTGGGTGGCTCAGTTGGTTAAGTGACTGCCTTCGGCTCAGGTCATGATCCTGGAGTCCCTGAATGGAGTCCCACATCGGGCTCCCTGCTTGGCAGGGAGTCTGCTTCTCCCTCTGACCCTCCCCCCTCTCATGTGCTCGCTCTCTCTCATTCTCTCTCTCTCAAATAAATAAATAAAATCTTAAAAAAAAAAAAACGGTAGTCGAGGATGAATAGGCATTACGACAAAGATGGGTGGGGGAGAGCAAACCAGGTGTAGGGCACTGTTTTTGCAAAGCCAAGAGACTCTCCTCCCCTACCTGACACTCTGGGCCAGCCACCGGTTGTACTGGCCCAAGCACGCACTCTGCACATTCCTTCTCTTTCATTCATCAAATATTTATTGAGCAACTACTAGGTAGGTGCCAAACACTTTATTCTCTGCACCTTCACTTGGATGGTCACTGGGCATCTCAAACATAACTGGCCCCAAACTGAACACCGAAGACCTTCCATTTCTCAGGTAATGGCAACTCTCCATATGCTCAAGCCAAAACCTTGGAGTCCTCTTTGCCACCCCTTTCCCTCACTCCCCACATCCAGTCTTTTGGCAAAGCCTGTTGCTCTCTACCTTCAAAACCCACCTCCCATTACTCTCCCAGCAACCATCACATCTTGCCTAGATTATTGGTTGCAGCAACCTTGTCACCCATCGGCTTCCACCTGCATTTGTTCTCTCCACAGCAACCAGAGTACTCCTTTAAGACATAGCTCAGGTTGGGGCACCCGGGTGGCTCAGTAGGTTAAGCCTCCCATTCTTGATTTCAGAGGGTCGTGAGATGGAGCCCAGGGTTGGGCTTCTGCTGAGCATGAAGCCTGCTTGAGATTCTCTCTCTCCTTCTCCCTCTGCCTCCCCCCCCCCCGCCCCTGCTTGCTGGAAGGCTCTTTCTCCCTCGCTAAAAAAAATAAATAAAATTAAAAAATAAAACATAACTCAGATCACGCCTCACTCCAGACCCTGTGATGGCTGTTCATCCTAGTCTAGAGACTCACAGATTTACAAAGCCCCACCCACATATTCTGACCCCATCTCCTACCGCTCTCCCCCTCCTCCCTGCCTCCCTGCCACACGATCCTCCTTACAGGTCCTCAAACACACAACAGGTCTCTTCCCTCTGCCTGGTATGCTCTTCCTAGAGATTTTGGCATGACTGGTTCCCTTATTTCCTTACAGTATTTCTCAAAGGCCACCTTCTCAGTGAGGCCTACGCTGACCATCCTATTTGAAATTGCAACCTCGCTACTCTAGCAGTTCCCAAGCTCCCTGACCCTCCTATATTTTCCATACCACTTATTCCCTTCTAACACATTTATTACGGTTTCTATTATTAACTGAATAAAATTTAGTGGAAGAGACAGATAACAGGAAATAGAAGCATGAATATAGGGAAGTTTCTATAGTGGGTAGTGCTATAATGAAAATGCAACGCAGGGACGTGATAGAGACTTGAAGGTAGGCTACTTTCCTTCGCCTGGTCAGGGACGGGACATTTGAGCTGAGACCTAATTGATGTGAAGGAGCCCTAAGACGTTAGAGCCGAGGGGTAGGGGCAAGAAGGAAGAACACTCTAGGCCGCAGGCAACTGGAAAGGCTAGCGCTCTGAGCTGGGAACCACCAAGTTCGTGGGCAGATACTCCGACCTCACCGGCTGCCATGGGCCGTCGGAACCCTAGCGTCCGGCGTGCGGTTGAGCACTCCTGCAAACTTCACTTACAGCCTTCCAAACAGACCGACTCCAGGCAGAGCCTGGGGGCCGCGGGGGGGTGGCAGGCCGCTGGGAGTGGCGGAAGCAGAAAAGGATAACCCCCAGAAACAGAGATGCGAGAATTTCAGGGGCCGGTGGAGTCGCCAGGAAGCTCGGCCGGGCCTCGCGGGCTGGATAGGAGCCCGCCCAGAGGAGGCGCCGGGCCGAAGCCGTCCCAGGCTTGGCTCTGTGGGAAAAGTGGGCCGGGCGGGATGAGGGGGCTGGAGAGGGGGAGAGGAGGACTCCGTGTTCTCCCGGCGGTGGGTTGGGCCCGAGGCCCGCGGACGGCCTGCGGTGGGGCCCCGGGTTCGAGGTCGCCCGCCGCTGACCAGCTCTGTCCGGGCCTCTCGGGCCTCAGTTTCCCTCCCGCGTGGATCCAGGGGCGGCTTCGCGGACCGCCCGGTGAGCCGCGGGAGCGGAGGGGAGGGGCGGGAGGGTAACTCGAGGCGCCCGGAAGGGGTCTCCCGGCGCCCGCGGCCACGTTCCGGCCCTGGCGGAGGCGCGGGGTCCGGGGCCGGGATCGCCCCGAGCCGCAGGCTCAGCCCATCCCGCGGGCCGCCCTCCTGGGCGTCGGCTCGCCCGGCGGCGCGGCGGCGAGCGCGGGCCCGGCGGGCTCTGGAGGAGGCGGCCCCGGGAAGGCGTGGCCCGCGGAGACGTGGCGGGGCAGCCCCACTGCGCGGACCCGGAGACTGAGGCGGCAGCCGCCGCTGTGCCCGGGGGCTCCCAGTGAGGCGACCGCTGTTTTCGGGCGGTGGCGGGACGGGGGCCCACGCCCCAGCCCGCCCAGCTCCCCTAACAAAAAGAATGTGCAGACACGCGGTGTACGGGCCCCCGCGGGCTGTGCGGTCCGTGTCCCGCACCCCTGGGAGGGGTGGGGGCCGCGCCCGCCCCCAGGCTCGCGACCCGGGCGGGGGCACTGCTCCTTCGGGCCCGGAGCCCCTGTCCGCGCCCGGGTGCCGGGAAGACAGGGGTGAGGCCGACGCCAGGGCGGAACTCAGTGAGCCCCCCCGCCTCCCGCGACCAGCCACTGGCACGGCCCCGCCCCCGTGGGCCCCGGCGGGTTTCTCTCCATAGACCTTATCGTGACCGGTCCTTACGTTACTTCTTTCTTAATTTCCCCATTCATTTATTATTTATCTTTGTCTGCTCACAGTGTGTCTCCCCGTGGAATGTAGGCTCCAGGAGGGACGGGTTGCTTTGTCCATTGTTGTATTCTTGGTTATTTCAATACTTTCTGAGGTCCTCTTCCTGATGGGCTGGATATTGGAGGTCACACCGGCAGCCAAGCTGAGTCCCTCCCGAGAGGAGTCCTGCCCTAGACATTCGGGGAGCTGGCGAGAGTGCTGTAAACACAAAGGGCATCACTGTGGGGGGAAGGAAAGGAAAAGAGACGTGAGGGGCTGCTGGTTGGGTCAGCTTGTGATCAGGAGCACCAGCGATCAGGGCAGGCTCGCAGATTAAATGACTTTGGCCCACAAATAACCCGTGGGACGTGCTAAAAGGGAAAAGCAGTGGGACGCCTGGGTGGCTTAGTCCGTTAAGCAGCTGCCTTCAGCCAGGGTCATGATCCCAGGGCCCTGGGATCGAGTCCCACATGGGGCTCCTTGCTCAACAGGGAGCCTGCTTCTCCCTCTCTCTCCCTCTGCTTGTGCTCTGTCAAATAAATAAAAATCTTTTAAAAAAATAATAAAATAAAAGGGAAAAGCAGGAAGCTGAGGACACTTAACTCTGACCTTGCCTTTTGGGGCATCGGGAACTGAGCTCAGCAAAGTGATTGTCAATTGCTCTTAAGTGCTTGGTCTGGGTGGGCGGGTGGGTAGGGAGATTATCAGGGTGTCAGGGGAGGCTTCCTGGAGGAGGAAGTGGTTTAACTGGGCCTCTAAAACTGAGTAGGAGTTCTCATCCTTTAAGATGCAGTGACGGGGTTTGACAATTGTTTTGCAGGTGCCCTAGGAACCACAAAGTCAAAGGGCTAAGCCGAGTGGCTGGACAAGAGGCCCTCGCCCTCTTGCTGTGAATCTGCTGGTAAGTGGGTCCCTGCCGAGACTCGCCCCCAGAAGGTGTGAGGGAATCAGGAGACCAAGCTCTGCTTCTCACTGGTCATGCAGTCTTGGGCAGTTCATCTTTGCTGCTCTGGGCCTCCGTTTTTCACGAGTCAGGACAGTTGGATTAGGTGCCACTTATGATCCGTGGGGTATGCACATTCAGTGGTTGGGGTTGGTCCTACCCAGCCGTGCCCTGTGTTCGTACCACACTCTTGTTTGTTTAGCGATCCCCATCTAAGCGCCCTTAGTGGAGGAATGGGGCCGGCCTGCCCCACCCTGCCTTCATCTGGCCCCGAAGGCTACAGATTTTTAACTAAAGGATAACTGTGCCATTAACGAAGAAGAGAGAGGCTGGCAGGGGCCCAGGACGGTCACAGAAACCTTGGAGGTTTGGCCTCAGGGTTGGAGCTAAGGGTCCCCTGGATTAAGGGATGGTTTAAGCACAATGATTTCTATGGGTTCGGGGTCCATTTTGGCTCAGATGATGCTTTTTTCTTTGGATGTTAAAAAGCTGTATCAAACCCCTCCCTCCCTTCCTTCTGGTCTGGGACAGTCACATTATCCTTCTCTCTGAGTCCTCTGCTGTCCAGTTTTTTGCATGCCCCTCACCCTTTGAGAGGAAAGGCAGGGACACCAACCCATTTCACAGATGAGGACACTGAGAGCTCAGGGCACAAAGCAAGTGAGTAGAGGCCTCAGGGCAGGGGCCCAGGTCTCCTCCAGAGCCAGCATTCTTTTCCCAACAGGGGCAGAAAGGCTGCTTTCTTCTCTGACCTGTGGCCACCCGTCTCCCCTCACAGTTCTTATGGGAGCCATGAAGCTGAACGAGAGGAGTGTGGCCCACTATGCACTAAGCGACTCCCCGGCCGACCATACGGGCTTTCTGCGCACTTGGGGCGGGCCAGGGGCTCCACCGACCCCCAGTGGCACTGGCCGAAGGTGCTGGTTTGTCCTCAAAGGCAACCTGCTCTTCTCCTTTGAGAGTCGTGAGAGCCGGGCCCCGCTGAGCCTGGTGGTGCTGGAGGGCTGCACAGTGGAGCTGGCCGAGGCTCCCGTGTCTGAGGAGTTCGCCTTCGCCATCCGCTTCGACGCCCCTGGTGTGCGCCCACACCTGCTCGCGGCCGATGGGCCCGCGGCGCAGGAGGCCTGGGTGAAGGCCCTGTCCAGGGCGAGCTTTGGCTACATGCGCCTGGTGGTGCGCGAGTTGGAGAGCCAACTGCGTGATGCCCGCCACAGCCTGGCCTTGCAGCGCCACTCATCTTGGAAGGCCACTGGTGGCCACTGTAAGCCCCAGGCTCCTGACCGCCGGTCTCCGGGCCTGGAAAACGGTCACTCCCCCTCCAAGGATTGCAGCCCCATGGACTTGGTTGAAGAAAGGTGCAGCAGGCCAGCAGGGCGGGGCTTGGCCGAGTGGCAGGGCCCTGCCAGCCACTTCCTGGGCAGCAGGCAGAGCCCCTCGTGCCCTGAGACCTCCTACTTCTCTACCCTGCACTACTGGTATGGCGAGGAGATCATGGAGCTGAGGCAGAGGTGGCGGCAGAGGGTCTGGGGGAGCCAGCCAGAACGTGAGAAGCAGGATGGGCCCTGAGCCTCAGCCTTTCGGGTTCCGCCCTTATCTTGCTGGTCAGGACTCCAGGGCCAGTGCTTTTTCAGGAATTTCAGGTTTATTCGGTTTAAAGTTGCTTTTTTTGAGAGGGTTCTTTCCTTCCTGCTTTTTAGACCTTCTCCAGGTTCCAGATCCACCCCCGTGCCTGGAGGGGACTGAGGAATCATTCCTTCCAGCCCCTTTATTTCCAGAGGCCCAGAGAGGAGAGGGGGCTTGCTTAGCAGCCCCAGAGCCAGACCCAAGTCTCCCACCGCTGTGCTGGACTGCCCCTCGCTCAGGGGATATTAAGGAACGGGAGGAAGTGGGGACTATTACGTGGCCACAGACTGCCGTGCGTTTTTACCTACACACCAGACTACAAGCACAACTTCCTACACCGGGAGTCTTGTGTACATTTAAATACCAGTTGGCTGAAGTGTTGGCTCGAGGGACTGACATCATCCGAGAAAGTAGATTTATTGTCCCGGGGGTTTCCGGGGCCCAGCTCTTCCTGCGTGGTGGGGCATAGGACTCCACTCTGCAGTTTGGGTGGGGCCCTTGGAGGGAGAGGGCCTTCAGCCAGCAGAGGGATTGATTCTGCTCAGAAAGTGTTGGGGCCTCCAGCTTCTCTCCTTCGCTGCCCTGTCTATAGATGGTGCTGGTCATTGCCCCAGGAGGGGCTGGTGGCAGAAATCCTTCCTGTATTCTGTCCTTAGAAGCTAGCTCCTGGAGCTGCCACTTGGGAAGCTAAAGGAGTTGGGAGGCAATGGGGCTCTTTGGGGAAGCCAGGTTGTTGTTTTGGTTCTCAGTCACGGTCATTCTAGGAGCTTGGACACGGGATTCCCAGCACCGTGTGATAAACTCTTCTCTCCTAACTGTACTCCCAACGAGCCGTTCCTGATCCTGAACCTGGCCTGGGAACTCATTCACCGTCCTGCTTGTCAGTCAGTGCTTATCTGCCAAGACCCTCTCATTGCTACTCTCAGCAGCAGTGGTGCCAAGTGTTTTCTTTATTGATCGTTTAGGGAGGCAAAGTGGCTGGATGGAGAGAGCCAGCAGCCAGACTAGCCTGAGCCCTGGGGGTGTGGCAGCAGCGGCTGGATGGAAGATGCAGAGCCTGGTCCAGACATCCCCCCTCTGCCTGCACACAATCTGCCCCTTCTTAGCCTCTCCAGCCCTTATTAGGACCTTGGGTACACTGCCCAGGGCCCCACTAGGTCTAGAAGCTTCGACTCAGCCTCCTAAGTCCAGGACGCCGAGAGGCCACCAGGGTCCGGCGCCCATTCCGGCGGGCTTGTTTCCCAGCCCCATGCACGAGCCCACAGCCCACTGCGCCTTGTTTTATACACAGATACTACAGGCTTTTGTTATCGTTTTTTTACGGTTACAATGTTTTTTTTTTTATATGATTAAAACACTACGTTTTTATTACTCACTTTGGTTCCTCGTTTATTTCAACAATCACTTGGCCGATTTTGGCGAAAGCCCCCACCTCCCCCCTTCATTTGCCTATATATAACGCATACCTTGGCAAGAAATAAAATCACAAAATCATGGGGCGCCTGGGTGGCTCAGTCGTTAAGCGTCTGCCTTCGGCTCGGGTCATGGTCCCAGGGTCCTGGGATCGAGCCCCGCATCGGGCTCCCTGCTCCGCGGGAAGCCTGCTTCTCCCTCTCCCGCTCCCCCTGCTTGTGTTCCCTCTCTCGCTGTGTCTCTCTCTGTCAAATAAATTAAAAAAAAAATTACAAAATCATCCAGGTAGTACAACTAATAGCTCTGAAAATAAAAGAAGAAAAATGCAACTGTTTGAGGGCCGATGAAAGTGACTTCTCTTTTCAACAATCACCGGCTCTGCCCAGCCCGGGCGCTCCACGGTGAGGGAACAATGGCGGAAGTAAGAAGGCTCCACCGGGACCGCCCGCCTGACGACCCGCCCGCCTGACGACCCGCCCGCCTGACGACCCGCCCGCCAGGCCCTGAACGAGGCGGCTACTGCGGCGTCGGCCCCCCCTCGTGACGTCAGCACGTCATGCGGGTGACAAACGCCCCTTTCGCACCGCCACAGGAACTAGGCGCACTGCGCAAGTGTGCGGGCTGGGCCTCGCGTCTGATCCCAAAAGCCTCGCGAGGGTTGGGGCGGTGCGCTTCCTGAGGGCGTCCCAGGGGCCGGGTGCCGGGCTAGGGGCGGAGCTGGGAGATGGCGTCCGGAGCGGCTCGCCGGCTGGCTTTGGCATCCGTCCGATCCGGGGCTTTCCGGAACGGACCGAGCTTGAGGAAGGGTGGCGAGGTCTCCGCCGGAGGGGGTGGCTCAGGTCGGAGCCTGGTACCGTCGAGGTCAGTCATCGTTACTCGCAGCGGCGCCATTTTGCCCAAACCGGTGAAAGTGAGTGTCTGCCTGGAGGCGGGGCGAAGGGGCCGCGGCCAATCATTATGGGGCGTGTGTGCGGGTCGACGCTGACTGATAGGAGCAAAGGCCAATCATACGACCGCCTTAGACCGGAAGACGGATCAAGGACAAAGTTAAGCAGTGATGCGCTGCTTATTTTGACAGGTGGGAGGAAATGGGTCAGATCCCGGTATTGAGTTGGGCGCACGGAGACAGAGGATGGGGCTGAGAGCCGAGAAGGACTGCACTTTGCACTAGTTCATCGTGGGGAGCGTGGTGCCCTAGTTCTCCAGGCCACAAGACGGCTTTATGCGTCCAGTGTAGACAGATCCCGTAACCACTCCGTTCTTGTCTACCTCACAGTTGATGGGATGGAATAATGAGTTGTGAAAGGGCTTTGTAAATAAAGGGTACGTGGGACAGACCTTATATTTTTATGAGTTTTGACCTAGTACGTAATTCACGTGATCTGCAGTCCTGAGAGGTGGGCGGGGAATTACTACAATCACTGTTTCTACAATGAAGAGTCGGGCCAAAGCAGTGAAGCCGTGAGGCTCCGAAGCTAGCAGCGAGTTAGGGTCTGGAATCCAGGTTTCTGGCTGGTACATCCCCACCCCCAACCAGGTCCTATTTTTTTCCACCACTGAATGCCATCGCATGCCCTGAGTACTCTTGGGTTTTTCTAAGTAAAATGGAAACAGCCCCTTACACCAAACAAGTTTGCTCTTTGACTCCAGGGTTGTGTGGGAGTTACAAAACAAAAATTCCCTTAAAGCTAGTATGGCCAGTGCTGGCTCGCACAGACAAGTGAGTTCAGGATTGTTGTGTGGCAAGCAGCAAGGTCCATACTGGGGAAGAGCTGCCTTATAAAAAGGCATAGCTGGAAAAAAGTTTTTTGAAACTCCGTAGGAAAATATGAGGGTATGTTGAAATTCTACTGAAACTGCCCCAGTCCATCTGCCATCTTTTATGGTAAAGACATGCTTTTTTTTTTTTTTTAAGATTTTTTTTTAATTTTTATATATTTGAGACAGAGAGAATGAGAGACAGAGAGCATGAGAGGGAGGAGGGTCAGAGGGAGAAGCAGACTCCCTGCCGAGCAGGGAGCCCGATGCGGGACTTGATCCCGGGACTCCAGGATCATGACCTGAGCCAAAGGCAGTCGCTTAACCAACTGAGCCACCCAGGTGCCCAAGACATGCTTTTTTTTTTTGAAGATTTATTTATTTATTTGAGAGAGCGAGAATGAGAGAGAGTACATGAGAGGGGGGAGGGTCAGAGGGAGAAGCAGGCTCCTTGCCGAGGAGGGAGCCCGATGTGGGACTCGATCCCGGGACTCCAGGATCATGACCTGAGCCAAAGGCAGTCGCTTAACCAACTGAGCCACCCAGGTGCCCAAGACATGCTTTTTTTTTTTGAAGATTTATTTATTTATTTGAGAGAGCGAGAATGAGAGAGAGCGAGCACATGGGGGGGGAGGGTCAGAGGGAGAAGCAGACTCCCCGCTGAGCAGGGAGCCCGATGCGGGACTTGATCCCGGGACTCCAGGATCATGACCTGAGCCGAAGGCAGTCGCCCAACCAACTGAGCCACCCAGGCACCCAAGACATGCTCACTTTTCCAAAACATGGTTGTTTTTAAGATTTAACGTGGTGAAATTAAACTTCTCAGGCACTGGGGAATCTGTTAAAGAACTGTATGGAGTATGCTTCCACTGTACATGCACATCTAATTTTTAGATGTCTAGAATGAATGCATTATACTTTTCTTTCTGGTAGCCACATTGATGACCATAAAATAACCTTATCTCTTCTTTTTTCTTGCTCTGAATGTTTCCAAAATCAAGTAGTTGCGTATTACGGGTCTGGGGTCCACCGGAGTGCCCCTGAGGGGCCAAGCCTTCTGTGGTCCAGAGTTGGCTCTGGAGCTCACAGCCACCGCTCTGACCCTCTGCAGATGTCCTTCGGCCTTCTTCGTGTGTTCTCCATTGTGATCCCCTTTCTCTATGTCGGGACGCTCATTAGCAAGAACTTTGCCGCTCTGCTTGAGGAGCATGACATTTTTGTTCCAGAGGATGACGACGACGATGACTAACAGGTAAGACTTCCCTTTCTCCTACGTGGACCAGGAACAGGAAGGGGGTGGGGCATCTAAATTCTGATGCAGGGGCGCCTGGGTGGCTCAGTTGGTTGAGCGACTGCCTTCGGCTCAGGTCGTGATCCTGGAGTCCCGGGATCGAGTCCCGCATCGGGCTCCCTGCTCGGCGGGGAGCCTGCTTCTCCCTCTGACCCTCCCCCCTCTCATGCTCTCTGTCTCTTAATTCTCTCTCTCTCAAATAAATAAATAAAATCTTTAAAAAAATAAACTCTGATGCAGTTTGCCCTGGTAGCAGTTTCTGGTCCCTTGAAACGGAAGTGCAGACCTTTAATAAGTTGACTCACTTGGCTGTTTTTATTTTGCCTTTGCTCTATGTTGATGAGAAAAACTATCTTACTGCCTTAAAAATTCACTGGGATGGGGCACCTGGGTGGCTTAGTTGGTTAAGCGGCTGCCTTCGGCTCGGGTCATGATCCCAGGGTCCTGGAATCGAGCCCCGCATCGGGCTCCCTGGTCAGCAAAGAGCCTGCTTCTCCCTTTCCCTCTGCCTGCCGCTCTGCCTGCTTGTGCTGTCAAATTTTTAAAAACCTTAAAAAAAAAAAAAAAATTCACTGGGATGGGGCGCCTGGGTGGCTCAGTCGGTTAAGCATCTGCCTTCAGCTCAGGTCAGGATCTCAGGGTCGAGGTGGAGCCCCGGAGCCCCATGTCGGGCTCCCTGCTCAACAGGGAGTCTGCTTCTTCCTCTCCCTCTGCCCCTTCCCCCCTGCTCTTGCTCTTTCTCTCAAATAAATAAAATCTTAAAAAAAAAAATTCAATGGGATCTCTTCCAACTGGGTTGATCCTAACCAGACTTTTTGTCTTTTATGTACCCTTATTCTCTCAACCCACAAGTTTTCTTAACAATTTAATGCCTTACACACCCGTCCCAAACAGCTTCATTCTCCACATTGAAATTTAGAAACTGCAGGTCTTCACCATGGTCAGCAAGGTCATCAAACTCTGTGCCTGTTCCATTCAGCTTTCTGGTGTTGGCTTCTGGTGTTCTAATACGTGCTGCTTGGCTGCCTTTCTGTTGTGGTTAAGGACAGTTCTGGCTCCGGAGTCTGACATTCAGGCTTGCCATGACCTGGTCACACCGGTTATTCCAGCCTCATCTTCCATATTCCCAACAGCACACCTATCCCCAATATTCACTATTTCTTGAATTACCCACATGCTTACCACTCCCAAGCAGTGGCTCTTCCTTCCAATTGGAAGGCTATTATTTCTCACTACTCTTTTTTTTTTATTCATTTGAGAGACAGACAGACAGACAGCACAAGCAGGGAGCCCTATGCAGGGCTTGATCCCAGGACCTGGAGATCATGACCTGAGCCGAAGGCAGGCGCTTAACCATCTGAGCCACCCAGGTGCCCCTGTTTCCCACTACTCTTACTTCCACCAATTCTTCATTGTCTTTGATGAAGTCTTCCCTCATTCCTCCATTTGAAAGTGGCTGCTGTGCCCTCTGACTGACCAGTACCTCTTGTGACAGTATTATGTGCTTCAGCACACAGGCACACCCCCAAATTCTACTAGACTAGGAGTTTCTTGCTGGCAAGGAACATGGTTGTTTTTTTTTTTTAAAGATTTTATTTATTTATTTGACAGAGAGAGAGCTAGAGAGGGAACACAAGCAGAGGGAGTGGGAGAGGGAGAAGCAGGCTTCCCGCCGAGCAGGGAGCCCGATGCGATGCGGGGCTTGATCCCAGGACCCTGGGATCATGACCTGAGCTGAAGGCAGGCGCTCAACGACTGAGTCACCCAGACGCCCCCATGGTTGTTTGTTTTTAAGTAAGCTCTACACCCAACGTGGGGCTTGAAATCACGATCCCAAGACCAAGAGTCGCATGTTCACCAACTGAGCCAGCCAAGCGCCCCCCAGCAACATGTTTTTTATACCTTTGGGCCCCCAGTGCCTGGTCTCCGATGACTCTTCATTAAATGTGTGAATGAATAAACAAACTGCTTTGCTCCTGCCTTGTTTGGTAGAACCTCTCTGGAATGCTCTTTCTGGTATTTGGATAAAGGGCTGCTCTGAGCCCAGTTCATTGCTGCTTTCCTTTCTTACAGGACACGGAGGAGGTACAGAAAGGAGACAGCCCTAACTTAATTATGATGGTGATGCTCACAGCCTCTCCTGCTTCCCTGTCAGAAGGGCCCAGGGAAAGCCCTCAGCCTCCCAACACCAGTGAAGCCTCCTGCACCATCTGCGACCATAGCCCGGATCCCCAGGCTCTGGGAGGTTCCCAGAAATGTGCTGTCCACTGAGCACAATCAGCTTATGAATAAACATGATAAACATCAGCTCTGTATGACTGCGTGGTGGCTGAAGTGTCTCAATAGGAGTGACCCCAGCTGCAGTTTCTTGTCCCTGCAGTCCTTTCTCTAGCAGCTGAATGGA